ATAGAATGAAATATTGTGAGGATCGCCCTGAAAATGCCTGAAATCAATTGCTGAAACAGCTGAAGGATGAGAAGAAACGGCTGAAGTTCTTTGTTGAAATAGCTGAAGGATGAGATGAACAGAATGACTGTGCATGTAATTAAGTTTGGAGGGCAGCACAGTGGCACGGTGGGTAGCGTGTTGCCTGACAGCGAGAAAGTTCCGGGTTTGTGACCTTTCTGTGCGGAGTTTGCATATTCTCCCTGTGCTTGCATGGGTACTCCGGCTTCTTCCCACTGTCCAAAGACGTGGCTTTGGTTGATTGGTGACTCTACATTGCCTGTAGGTGTGAATTGTGTGGGTGTGTGGTTGTTCATTTATGTGTTGGCCCTGTGATGGACCTGTCCAGGGTGTACCCCACTTTTCGCCCAATGCTGGCTGGGATTGGCTCCACGTGTCTATGCAGGGGAGAGGACACAACATCTTTGAACAGACTGACAAAGTCACTGCCTTCAAAAAGAAGTTGGATAAATCACGTGACTAAAGTCAGACTTGACATGTTTCCCAACACTTGCCGCACAGCAGGAGAGCTAAATACAGTGGCCTAAGGTGCCCTGAAAATAACTGTCACTGTGCATCTGACCAGTCTACATGCTTGCTTTGAGGACTGCTTTCCAGAGAAACACAATAGTCACTGGATAAGAGATCCCTTTGGAATTGACATGGAAAGCATTGTGTTGCCAAGCAGCGAGGAGAATCAGTTGGTCGAGCTGTCATGTGACCAGACGCTGAGAAAGAAATTTGATGAGATAAGGCTTCCCCATTTCTGGTGCAAATACGTGATGTCTGAGTATCTGGCAGTCAAAGCAGCCTACCGTTCACAACAACCAATCTGTGTTAAAGTGGCTTCTCCACTTTGGTACAGCTCAAGTCAAAGCAAAGGAACAGGTTGGACACTGAACATGATCTGAGAGTAGCTCTGTCTACTATCAGCCCAGACATTGAAACTCTTGTCAGAACTAAAAGACAACTCCAGCTATCTCATTAGTTCACTGTAAAATAAAATCTTGCTTACATGTTAAGTGAAAAGAGACTATAAGATATTGTGTTTGCAGTTCTGCTTTCAGTTTTATACATATACAGCACCCTGTTGTGTTATTCGACTGTTGTATATACTGTATGTTGTGTTATGCAGCAGTTGTGCTGTTTATTTTTATTTCTGAGTAATATTTCCTCAATGCAGTTTTAAAAAAAAAAGCTTTATAATTTAATGCATTTATTTGAAATCTTGTATGCAACTTGACAAGTGGGTTGGAAAGTGGGTCCCAGGCTGACACCAGTTGAAAAAACACTAATCTAGTGTACATAGAAAGAGCACACAACCTGAAACAGAGGAGTGGTACAATCCAAAAGGTTCAGAGAATGACAACAACATCAGCTGTAGTTTCACTGAAGCACATTTTTGAACATGGCATGGCTTACGTAGCTATCAGCAGAGTGACCTCCCTTAGTGGACTGCACCTACTGGACATGGATGAGATATGATTTTATTTGAATCCAGAGATCACATCAGCCCTGGAGACCATGAGACAAGCCAACATGGATGACATGATGCTGCTTCTTCAGATCAGACAAACACTGAGCAGACCGTACACTCTGACCATCATTCACCATAACACAGAAGGACTGCCGTCTCATGTCATCATGAATTGTGTCTGGCAGATGTTTTGTGTCTCACAGAAACAAACCTATAAGGCTGCAGCTGGATGGCTGAAAATTGATAAAACGCAACCAACACCTGTCCTATACAAATCTTCCACAAATAGCCAATAGAGGCCATATTAATGTCATGATTCTGTCTCTTCTGCTTCCTGTAACATACTTTTATTCTGACACCACTTCCTGTTAAGGTGTCTGCTATGATTCAACTTTCACCTCACCTCCTCTAACACTGAGGATTAACGCTATCAAGACAGTATGCTACTACAGACCAAAACCTGCAGCACAATCAAAACTATCAATGAAAATTTGACCTATCTGGACGCACAGAGAAATGTTATACTTCCTGTAGATCCAACTCACTTTTCAAAACAAAACACAAGATAACTCTTATTAACTTTTACCTCACCTTACTTCTGGCTCGGCGACACTGGCAACCTCACACCAATCAAGACTTCATGCTGCCACAACTGGAGACTCATCACAGAGACACATGTTTCTTCAGAACACAGCATAAGGTATTGCTATTATAAAGTTATTGTTTTAGCTAAAAGTTTCATTACCCTGTACTTTTTATTTGTTAAATTTTATTATTTAGTTTATACTGTTTTCATTTATCTATTCAGATTCGACACTGTTGTTCTGTCTTTTGTGGTACAGCTACAGTTCACAAGCCACTTGAAAAGTCAGAAATGTATTAACCCACAGCACATGACCAGTTTTTAAAAACAGTTCACATTAGGATGGAGTGTCAGCTCGTAGTTAGGTTAAATGCTTTTCACATTTGTGTACTTTAGCCTTGGGTTAAATCAAACCCTTGCTATATACAACATTCATATATTGTAACAATAACAGAAATGTGAAAATTTCACATTGTGAAATTCTTGCTTAGAATTTTCAAAGCAGTTTTCACAATGTTAACATCACTGTGATTAAATTGGGAAACCATTTTGCCCATGGTGGTCTTGACTATCAGCCTATGGTTAATGAAACTGTGAACTAATGAAATATTAGTGATATTTAATCAAGGTCTTATGCCCTCTGCATTTTATGATGTCGTTTCATCCCTTGATCTGATTTGACATATATTTCTTTGCAGTTTTGTGTTTTGTTTCTTTGTTTGTTTGTGTATGTGAAGTACTTCGGTCAATAGGAACTACTTTTTAAAGCGCTGTAGAAATAAATATGATTTGATTTGCCTTATAAATAAAAATCAAAATACAATAATGGATGTCTATTTTTGCCTGTGTGCTATTCATGTCATGAGT